GGGTGTGGGTGTGGGTGGTGTGGGTGGTTGTGCGTGTGGGTGTGCGTGTGGGTGTGCGTGTGGGTGTGGGTTATAGAAAAGAACAACCTAAACCGGTACCCACAAGCACACTGACACCGACCCACACCTACACCCACACCCAACACCGACACTCCACACCCATCCCATCTCGCACGCGTTCCGGGTTCTCTTGAACGAGAACCCGCTTGTGTTCACCGTTACCGGGAACGGAACCGGAAGCTGATACCCCTAGCTATGAGCAATATTTTTTAAAAATTCAAAATCTTCACAACTGCTTTATCTTTGCGACTTCGGTTGATAGTCCGTAGGATGTCGGTAAAATGCACAAACCTCAGAGACGATATCACAAAATACCAATCATACAGCTACATATTCCCATAGTTTACCCACAAGTAACGCTCATCGACAATCTATTCGCTCAACCCTAGACTGAGGAACTAGTAGAGAAACGGAAATTCACCTATATCTGACTACTTCTCACTGTCTGTAGCAGTTCGTACATGTGACCAAAACAATGGTACTATGATCACATAGCGACAACACAAATAATCAAAAGCTGATCATGTCGGCCACATAGTTATATCGTCCTGTGGATCAAACGTATGAGCATTTTATTATACTTTTGGTCATTTGTGCCCCATCTTTGGTCTGCAACCAAAGAGATGCCACGAATAATCAATCGTATGATCTAAATGACCATCTTGTGGTTATTTATTTTATCGCAACGGCCCATTGTACCATTTTTGGGTCAATTATATCATCCTTATAGTCATTGGTACCATCATTTTGGTTATTTTTACCATCCGTGTGGCCACTTGTACTACGACTGTGGTACTTTTTACCATTCATACGGTCACTTGCACCAGGACTATAGTACTTTGTACCACCACTGTGGTCGCTTGTGCCATAACTGTGGTACTTTGTACCACGAAAATGGTTACTTGTACCATGAAAAATGGTCATTTCTACCACGACTATGGTATTTTGTACCACGAAGATGGTCGTTTGTACCAAGTGTTACAGACAGACAGACAGACACAGGTGAATTTCGGTTTCTAGACCCTATCCTTTCAGTTTAGGGAATGTAAAAAAAGGGTAAAAAGATCAGACTAGAATTGACTAATTTTGGATTAACAAGC